CTGTTTCGAGATTTGGGGGTAATTTTTGAGGGCGACAGAGGGGGTTTTAGATAGGGATGCGGGTTTCGGAGCCAGCTCGGGGCTTACGAAACATGGGTCGGGTTTGACCCGTATGTGACCCGGCCCGAATCTACGATCTAGCCGACCCCATCCGGACCTTGGTATTTTCAGAGAAATTTTGAGTAAGTTAAAGTGTTTTTTTGTAGGTAGCTGTTAACAAGTTACTTGTTCTAATTCATTAAATTAAATACTTGTTAATTGGTCGAAAGTTTGAAGAGACGTGAATAAGATTATTAGAAGTTATCGATAGCCCATTGCGGCCATACGCACAGCCGACAGGTACATTTGCGCACATAACCATAAAAAAGCCTTCTTTATTCTATTTACTTTCATTTATTTTAAAAAAATAACTGGAAAATATAAAAGTTAGCAAGACCTAATTTCTTTCAAGTAACGCTTAATCTATTGGGTTATTTAGATATTAGTCCTTTACAACTTCCCTATTTCCGCGTAAGTCCCTCACATATCAATAACTCCTTATCAGTCCCTCAAATCCTACGGACTCTGACAATTCGGTCCCTCAATGGCCAAAATAACCTTCACTTATGTTTTGAGGGGGATAACATGGGAATGAGCTTTGCTACAGTGACCTAAAATATGGGACCAATAGGTGAGACAAGTGAGGTGTCCCCCTCCTATTGGATAATGAGTTGACCATCATTAATGATGACCAACTCATTATCCAATAGGAGGAGAACACCTCACTTGTCTCACCTATTGATCCCATATTTTGGGTCCCTGAGGAATTTTTCCATGGGAATATCACGCTCCGTCAAAGATTTGTAGGACTAATATGGAATTATTGAAGAGCTGATGAGCTAACATCTAAATAACCCTAACCTATTTTCAGTTAACTTTTGCACCACACAAATTAAAGGTTTAAGAAACACGCCAATAGTTTTCTTTGCGAGAGAGTTCAACAAGAAACAGGTTGCCGGTCGTCCTCAACTCCTCTCCTTTTTGCCTTCGCGCGCGGAATAAAACAACTTCATAACTAGCTTAACTAATCTACAAAATCTAGTTGAGAATTTCTATTTACTGGGAAACTCTATCACAAAATACGTCATCTTCAGCTGAACAAATAGGAGAACAAGCATAACCCGTAAAGATTTTTATCCATGGTGAAGAAAACCAGTGATCAAATTTAACAGAACACACAGAGTCTGCACAGAGATTAGCATATACACAACGAAAAAAACACCAAACCCTAACTAAAATATCTCTCTCTCTCTCTCTCTGTCTATACACATAAACCTCCCTCACCGCGGCGTCTCCCGCTGTCATCCGCCGACGCTCTTCTCCGAGCAAACATCACCGACTCCGTCTTCTTCCTGATGCCCGATTCAAGTTCACATTGTTATTATGATCGCTATAGCTACGCCTCATCATCCGTTGTCGTTGCTGTTGATGATCCCATTTCCACCTCCGTTACGCTGAGTTTCAAGAACCTGCAGCCTCCTCCTCAGCTCCTCCATCTCCTCTCCATCAAGAACACCCTCTCCTTCATCGTCAGGTTCTCCGCCTCCACCGTGCGCTATATGCGTGTCCTGATCGTCGACCGGTTCTCGAGGAGGTAGGTGACAGCCGCCACCGGCTCCTCGCCGGAGCTAGGGTAAACCATCTCGAACCGGCTCAGATCGTGGTCGCAGCCTCCTCTCGACCTCCACGTGGCTCCTCCACGTCGCTCTCGCCTCGACCCGTCCCGGCCTCTCGTCCCTCTTCGCCGGCCGCCGGCGGAGGATCTGGAGCCGGATCAGGCCTTTCATGGCCACTACCCGTCAACTCCCCACTCCTCCTTCGCATGTCGACGAGCCCCTCCCTCCGACGGGGAAACTTCGGCGTCGGGAGGATCGCCGTCGTCACCGGACACGGCGACACCAGCGACGCGATGCCGCCGGATTTCTTCGCTCGGATGATAAACGAAGTCGTGTTTCTCGGAGCGAAGGGGGCGAATCTCGTGAATTTCTTCTTGTTAGGGTAGAACCTCCTCGCCTTGAGCCGGTTCTGGAACTGGAGGCTCGTTGAGATTCGGCGGCTTGTAGCATGAACCTCCGGCCGGCGATCGATCCTCCTCCTCCGCAGCGGCCCCGCCGCCTTCTTGCGCTTCCAGTTAACCCGCCGGGCTTAGATCCGGTAACCGGTGGGAAACAGCGGCCTAGGGTTTTGAAACATCATCGGATCGTCGGCGGCCGATTGAGGCCGGCGGAGCGGAGCTTGTTCAGAATCCGAAGCTTCGATTCATCATCTGAGTCGGACCGTTCATTCCTGTAGATCTAGGGATTTAGCCGTTGCAGAAACCCTAACCCTAACCCTAATTCGTAATCCTCGAGCCCTAACCCTAGGGTTCCGATGAAAGATCGGAGTCGAGTAAGAAATTAAAAGAGGTTATTTATTTGGTCTTTTTATTTATTTTATCTTAGAAAGACCAAAAAGAAATTGCTAGTTTTAGCAGGAATTTTTCGTAAAATTGGTTTTCTTTGCCGACGACAAATTGGGGAAATGAAAACGGTGACGCAAACTCCGACACGAGGGGCCTATTTATAGGAGTAGGAGAGGAGATGGACGGTTGGATTTGGTTCACGAGATGGACGGTTGAGATTGAAGGGGATTGTAAAAGTCGGAGCTGTTTCGTTGTGGGGTGGAGCTTAATATGGATGCCCCGGTGGTTTGTGTTTAATTACGAGCGGTCGCCATTCCCTTCGCTCGTTACGTGTGTCCGTAGACGATGAGAAGTGAGATGAGATCGAATAATTCTCGCGGGGCCCACACAGCACGAATCGGTTTATTGTTATCGGGTCGGGTTAATTTAGCTGTGGGCTTTGCGAATATTGCGTTTGGGAACCTTGAATTATTACTATTTTCCAAGATGCTGATCTTTATACGTCAACAACGTAACTTGGATTATGATGGTTAAGGATTCCTATGTGAGAAGACCCAGGTTTGAGGGGGACTCTTTTGAAATTTATCCTTCACATAATTCTCTTCCGAACGTTGCAGGTTTTAGATATAAACAAAGAGTAGTCTAAATCTGTCATCTAAAATGTTAGTGGTTGATTGTTTAGAGTCAGCCTAATCGACTTCTCTATGAAACTTTTATGACTCAAACAAACATGTTAACGAGAGCAAAGCGGAATCATGGTCAGGGTCACCCAAGAGGGCCTAGCTTAGTTGGTAAGCTGCATATGAATGTCCTAAGGAGCACCTACAGAAATTTGATACCCCACTGCTAAAAAATAAGATATCCTAGACGGAAAATTCCGTCTAGGATACTCAAAATTCCGTCTAGGATGGGTATTCTAGACGGAATTCCGGCCCATGGTTTGAGCAGTTTGGTACCTACGGTGGCGAAGGGTCATGGGAAAGCCCCCCCCCCCCCCCGCCAAACCAATAAAATAATCATGACTATAGACCGTCAAAGATTTAGCGACAAAGTTAGTTTGTTAGAGAGGCTTGAGCACTAGTAGAAAAACGACCATACTAGACGGAACAACCTAGACGAAAAAAAAAATTTATAGTCATCTAGAGGAGCATCGAGATCAATTTTTAGAGAGTTTAGCAATTGTATTTTTGGGCGAAGGAACTGATCATCCGAGATCAATTTTTTAGTAGTCATCTAGGAGAGGCATCGAGCGTCTACGTGCGTTCGACTCTGTCGATCGCGCCATGCTTTTGACAAAGAAGCGAAGATGAGTAGATGACTGACGCTAATTGCACCAAGAGTGCCAATTAAGGGAACGAGGAAAAGTGTACAAGAGATCTTTCAAATTTATTAGTCTTTTTCTCTAATAACAAAAGTTCATTAATGCTATTTTTTTTAACATTGTCCTCAAATTTATTAGTCTTTTTATAGTCGTAAAATGAGTCGGATATGTCGATCTTTCAACGGAGCAAAGTGGGGGTAAAAGAAAAGAAAAACGTCGAAAAGGTGGCTGAACAAAAAAGTAAAACAAAAGGGAACAGAATTGTAACTAAGGTTCTCAATAATTGACGAATTTTCTGTTCGCTGCTCAGGACGAATCTCATCATTTGTTGATTCTTCGAAGCAGGATCAATCTTCAATACGGTCAAAAGAGTTTTTTTTTTCTTCCGGGAAAGTTTTTTTTTTTTGTGAACATTTTGTTTGATTATATCTCTGGAGATGGTGTGTATTCTTTTTAATTATTTAGTTGTCTTGTATCTATTTACCTAGGGGTGCTAAACCGTGTCTGTATCCATATCCGAGAAAATATTTGTAAATGTATCCGTTAGGATACGGAAATGGTTACTCAAATCTATAACCGATAGGATATGGTTACAGATATGGTTTTGTAGTGAAATATCTGTATCCGTATCTGAAATATCCGAATACAATATTAGTCATACTCTTATGATAGTTTCAGTTCTTAGATTATGGATTTGTGGTTAATTTTGATGATCAAGATATCTAATCTTAACTTTTCAGTTATAATGAAGATATTAACGAACTCTTTTGTATCACATGAACTATATTTTTCTCAATACTATCTGCTTTTCTCATATCTATTTTGTATTTGTATGCCTATCTGCATGTATATATATAACCGTATCCAAGTTTAGCGGATATGGTTATAAATTTTCCTTACCGAGATATATTTGTATCTGTATTCGTATCCGAGATGGGTAAGCCGATATGGATATGATAAGTATCATATCTGAGCCGTATCTGGACCGAATGCACCCCTATATTTAGGTCATATTATTACTAATCTGCTGTGTGTTTGAATCTAACAAGCTACATTTTCAAGTTCTAATTTAAAAATAGAATCGATCAATAATTTCTTTATGGAGGTTTTCTTTAT